AATTTCGAATTAAAGCATATATATATATATATATATATATTTGTTAATAAAAGTCACCTTTAGCACAGAAATTTCACGCTTTAGAAGCTCACAAGACTTTCCAATCATCCTTTCACACTCTCTATCCCAACACATGAAGACAGCACTTGCAGTACAATCAGCGACTCCAAATTGGATCTTGTACCTTTAAGAAAAAAAAAAACGTAAACTATTTATAATCTATAATATGCGAAAAGACAAACATAAAAAATGTTGTTCCAACCTTGCAATGCCACGTGTATTAGTGCACTTGGTGCAATGCATGTCACCATCTTCAATATCCATCTTGCTATTGCATCTTTTGCAAGCAAGATACCACCAATTATCAATAATTGAGTCAATTGAGGCACACACCCAAGTATCCATATCCTTAAAATAAAAACATTAAATTTGTAAGCATAAACAAAGTCAGAATGTTATTATACAAAATTGGTATAATAAGTACAAAATCGGAATATTTATATTATACTACCTCTTCCGTCTCATGGATAGAATCAACAGAGCTAACAATGACATCACCATCCTCAAGTCCTTGAACTTCACTCTTGACAACCAAAGAGCTATTCGATCTAAGCTTCACATCTTTGATTTTGCTAGTTGTCATCCTACACAAAAAATATTCATTTAAAATATAATCTACTAATATATCCGTAACCATAATGTAAGAGATAAATTTAAAAATTATTTACTTATGCAGAAAATCTTGAACTTCGGGAATATCGTGAACACCAATTAAATGTGTGACATCCTTTGAAGTTGTTATTTGAACTTCACCTAATAAAGAAAAAAGTAAATGTTAACCAATACTCATAATTTAAAAAGATAAATATAATTAAATAAGTGACATGTTAATTTTCGAAAAATAAAAATAAAAATAAATTACCATTCCAAGGCTTTGCACGACACATTTGTATGACCAAGACAAATGGTTGATTGGCTTCCACATAGTAATTCTCGAAAGCAATAAATTGATCCACATACGCTCCCCAAACGGTACATGTCATAGGAAGCCCACTAAAAATAATAAAATATAATAAATTTAATAAGAATTTAATAAGAAGCTATAAAAATCGAGTGCAACTTTGAACAAAATAAATCGAAACAACTAACCCCAAATCCATAAGACTAAAATTAATCATTTGGGTAGGGCCAGTCTTCACATTTTTTATTTGAATTGGATGGGTCTCCACCACCAGGCCAATAACATCTACACAAAATAAATTTAATGAGAATCTATTAATATACTTCAATTCATAAGTAAAAAATATAAACATAATAAATAAGTAGATTCTTACGAATAAAATTTTTTTTATAAGACTTACCAAACAAAATTGCTTCGTCCACGTTGTCTATATCACGTAAAGTGAGAAATTCTCTAAAAGAGAATCGATAGAGTGGAAATGTGGTCTTGAGTTTAAAAAATTCGGTTCCCCTATGAAGAATGATGCGAAATTTGCCAATTGTTGATTTGTAAATGCCTATGTTACTCTCCACTTGATAATGATTGAAGGCATAAGCTTCTCCATCTTTAAGCTCGTCAATGAAATGAGATATGTGAACGGGCCTTATGAGACCGGTTATCCTATCACCCTAAAAAAAAAACGAAAATAATTACAATAATCTATTTAAAAAATTAATCACGAAAATTAGTAAAAATAGCACATTGTGACAAACCTCATTGTCATGGAAAATTAACTCAAGCACTTTCTTGTTAGAGAAATTCTCGGAAGTCCTTTGAAACATGCGAATAATATGAAGCTTGAGGAAAGGCCTATTGGATCTCTTGATATCTTTGATCAACCCCCATGTTTAAGTCATTTTCTTAAGAATACTAATTAAAAAAACGAAAAGATGTGTTTTTTACGATGTGTTTTGTGTGAGTTGAATACAAAATAACATAATGGATTGGTCTTTTTATAGTGAAAATCACGTAATTAAATTTGTTAAGTAGATAAATATCAATATTTTTTCAGATTTAGTATCCTAAATTTAAAATTTTTTCGAAATTATCAAGTGGTTGTATTCTATTAGGATACTATACTATTAATATATTTATTAATAGGTAATTGCAAGTATGTCCTATATGCACTTAAACGAATAAAGATATCACAATTGTTAGCATAAAAATATACCTTTGCTATATTTTTCATCTAATCTAATATGCACATAGTAATAAATATTCTCTTAGCATAAATAAATAGGGTTCGTAAAACCCTTCATATCCCATTATTAGTACATATTTTATCAGTTTACGGCCACAGATTTATTACGACACCTATTTGTTAATTAGATTATTGGGAATATTATTGCATATTAAATCTTAAGTCATTTTATTATGTTAAGTAGATAAATGCGTTGATATCGTAAGATTTAAGATGATATTTGCGTGCAATTTTTTTTAATAAAAACGTATGTGCGTGATTTTAGTGTGGAATGATTATGGAAAGATTTTTTAAGATAACTACAATTAATTGACAAAAAAATCATACCAAATCTTTAAGAGTTTACAAAAAATCAATTGTAGAAATTGATAAGTCTAAATAGTCTCAAATCCGTGCATAAAATATCCAACATATAGGATATCTACAATTAATTGACAAAAACATCTGACCAAATCTTTAAGAGTTTAATAACAATCGGATTGTACAAATTGATAAGTCCAAAAAGTCTTAAATCCATGAGAAAATTATCCAACGCTACTTAAAGTTGTTAAGTAGATAAATGCAAACACTGTTTGAAATTTAGTTTTTATTTCGATTTGTAAAAATGCAAATTGACTATCACAAGTACTCTTATATTGGATATATGATATTTTACATAACAATAAACTTACCCTTAATTGTATCGAATAAAAAAAGTAGTAAATCTGAATATAATAAATATATTATGTTTTAATATGAAATAGGCAAATATTTATTAGGATGTTTGTTATATAAAATCTATTAACTTATATCTCAATATTTAAGACTTTCGATTGATATCAATCAAATTAAATCTCAATAATATTATTCGAAATTTATAAAAATCAGTTCTTGTTTTTTTTTAATTCATATCGGATAAATATTGATAAGGATGTTAGTTATATCAAATCTTTTGTATATATTTATCTCAATTATGAACCTTTTTAATTTATATCTAAATATAAATTAGTTATAAAAAATATGTGGTAATTTAGAAGTCATTATATATTCATACTAAATTTGAAAAATCCGATATATTGAATCTATTATAAATTTAAAAAAATTGGCAATGACAATAAACATTTAAGTTTTAATATTAATTAGTTTATTTATATTATACCAAAATTTAGTTGATAATTATCAAGATCAATAAGGTCAATTTAAATACAATAATAATTATTTAAACATGGAGTCGAATTGAATATTGAATAATAAAAAAAACTTGAATAATTGAATAATAAAAGAAAACATGATAATCATAAAAGTCTCAATATAAATAAATATTATAAAATCCTATAAATGCCATGGAATAAAATTATTAAACAACTCGAATTGACATTCTAACATAACAATTTCATAATTCCTAAGAAATCCATGCAATAATCTTCATAATCCCGGAACCCTCATTAGTGATGAGGAAAATTTCCATCGTACGTGAATACATTTGTCTTTGGATGAAGCACAAGGATCCATCTATGGCCGGTTGTATTGATCCTCTGATTATTGCATTCAACATTGTAGTTGTGGATTGCATAAACTTTGCCTTCTTTGAACACATCTCGATATAATCCCATGCTTCGAGAACGGATGATGCCATTTATGCGTGAACCCTAAAATAAAAATTTATACAATTAACTAAAATAATTTATATAAATATGTATGTTACATAAAACAATTGAAATGCTTACATGTTCATCATGAAACAGGATTTGAATATTGTTCTTGGATTGCAGCTCGAAATTCGATTCAAAAAAGCTTACTACTCTTAATATCAAATCCGGTTGCGTGGCCCTGGTGATGTCCCCAAGTGTACCGTAGAGTCTTGCCATTTTTTTTTTTCCGTGTATCTCGAAATGTCTGTATTTTTTTCTGTGCACATTGGAGGAGATGATATGTATATAGATAGAATTTTTTTCTGTAATTTTGGTTGTTGGGTCAGTGTATTTATATGGGCGGGATTCAAATAATTTTTGGATTATTTTTTTGTATTAGGATAGCTACAAATAATTGGCAAAAAAATCTCACCATATCTTTAATATGCGACGGAATAGGCAGAATTAAGCAAAAAATAAGGCAACAAAAAAATTCAAATGCTAATTTGTACATGTGGGCGGGATTTTCCATTTTCGCCAAAAATTTGTACTCATTATATTTAAGATTTAGGCGGGAATTTCACTGTTTTTTTTTGCTGATTTTCTCCTTGATTTTTTCAAAAAACTATCATTCCCTCTTTATATATTAATAGATTACAAAATACATTTTAAATTTTGTCTCTACAACTTTTCATATCAGAAGTCAGCCACATATTATATCAGTTATAGATATCAATTCGTGTTTTAGATTCTTATAAAATATACTTTATTGTAAAAACTTATTGGTCTATATTTGAACTACTCATACACCCAACATATTTTAGTATGCTCGCTTGAATTTTGTTTTCTCATTGTTATTTTATAAAACTAAAAGAAGGAGTACATCCTAAATGTCTTTCCTATAATTAAATATACTTCCTATCAAATCTATAACTAATAATAACAAATAAAGAAATCAATTATTTAAATCTAATGATGTCTCCACCATTTTCCCCCATTAGAAGGATTCGCCTTTGAATCCGACAATCTCGTCTCCATTGGAATTATCACCTTGGGAAAGCACCAAGTGTTGGACATTAAACGCATCCGATGTTCGAATGTGAGATAACACCTTTGTGCGACTGCCGTTGTTGGGGATACATCGAGACCAAGATGATTCCCAGCCTCCAATTGGCTCCACACTCGTCTGTCATAGAATTTCACTAGATGTCGTAGCCCACCAGTAAATCAACCAGTCCGGCCATTGCTTCTTTCCCTGATCTTTCACAGACAATTCCCAATGGAGAGTCGCAACATCTCTTTCTACCAAACCTTCAATTGCGAGCTCATGGCTCCTATCCGCCTAAGAGGCACAAATATGAAGATTTTGGCGTATGCGGTTCAAGCCTCCTACATGAAGGACCTTGCGTAACTGCAAAATTGGGGAGCCCGAACCACCACCGCAGTCCCCGTCATCCTCAGCCTTATCAAAATCCCCAACTTTTATAGAATTCTAGAAAATCACATCTTTCAGGGGCATTTTGTTAAATATCATCAAGGTATCCCTCACCAATCCATTGTCAACATACAAGGAGTTCCAAGTCACAATGTCTCTAATCTCTGTGTTCTCAAAAGTATTTTCAGCGCCTTTAACATCTCCAGCCCGCATAAGCTTAGAAATCATCGTGTTATATGAGAATATATCTCGAGATGACATTTTATTATACAAGGACAGAGCATTTCCGTACGACCCCTCATCATAAAAGTGAGACGGACACACATATATGGTCAACCTCTCGTCATCAAAAAGAGGCGAATGGTCAACCCTTCGTCATAAAAAGAGGCAAACCTGCATATCTAGTCGACCCTTGCTCATCTAAGAACTCAATTGCATCCAGTTTTGGAGCTCGGTTAGGAACATCAAAATTATGCAAGTCACGGACTATCTAGGAATTAAATCCTAAGTGCAACGGAACTCGAAGTTAGGATTCAACACATACCGTTTTAAATTTTTGCTGACTCTGAGACGTTTCTGATTTTTATTGATGGAGATCGTCTTAACCTCTCATCGTTGTTCATCTCGTTGTGATTGCCTCAACACGCCTGTCGTCTCTTGAAGTCCAAGTCGTATCTCGCATCATTTACGGCCTCGTAAAATTGTTGTCAGTTGCACCACGTTGCACGGGGCTGCTGAACCATGGTTGGGCTACTACTGGTCGCTATTGGGTCACTGCGGGTCGCTTGGGTCACTGGTGGGTCTCCTGGCGCTGCTGGGGTGTGTTGGTGCTTGGGGCTACTCGACTGTGCCCGTTTGTGCTCGGGTCTCGCCTTGTGTCGCGTGGATGGATCGTTGGGAACTCGCTAGGACACGTTGGGAACACCAGGAGGCGGATCTGCGCTGATACATTGATGGGACTCCGCGGGTCTCGCTAGGACACGTGGAGGACGCTGTCGGGTTACACGGGTTGGATGCGGGTCACGTGAAAAACTCGCGGGTCACCGTGCTGCGAACGCCTGCGTGCTGGGAACGCATGCAACTCGTCTCCGTGCACTGGGAAGTCTTAGGATTGGTCCGCGTGCGTTGTGCGGCTTGGGACGGGCCTGAGAGCAGATGAGCGCAACTTCCAAGGTCGTCGGTGGTTGTCGTACTTTCGAGGCTTCACTGGTTGTCACTGGATGATCATCGACGGCTACGGGGTTGTATATATATATATATATATATATATAGAGAGAGAGAGAGAGAGAGAGAGTTAGGATCATACTATTCGCTCGATCTACCTCAGATCTTCTGTTTGTATGACCCGACATCTTCTCTGTTCGTCTTGGTGGACAACGATCTCGAAGATATCTCGATTGGGATTACTTGGACTAAGAGAGAACTTGGGGCGACGACTATTTGGTGTAAAAACCGTATGACATCTATTAATCTTAAGTCTCAAGAGATGTGATATATTTATAGGATACAACAAGGACCGTAAGGAGGAATTAAATTGGGCTCCCTATATGGTTTAATTGTGGGGCAAGCCCACTCCACTCATATACGAATAATATAGTTAGAGGTGGCCAAAGCTCGGTCCGGTTCACGGCCCGGCCCGACCTCAACTGCTGGGCCCATAATCGGCCCGACTATATCTAAGGACCGGTTCATTGAATTGGCCCGATCCGGAGGTTTGTTGATTAATAAAATAAAATAATATTTTTTAATTCATCACTAGTGTAATAAAATAATATTGTATTGATTAATAATCAACCAAAAACCAATTAAAATCAGTCTAAGATTTATATCCACTAGTACTTTCTGACCACAAATTTAGATAGCCACTGATGATGAAAGTCCACACAAATTATCCATACACCCAACTATAGACCAATCATATAAATACATGTTGACGAAACCTCGTTTTTCATAGTCCATACCATTAAAAAATAAAAACTAAAAAAATATCCAAAATCTCGAGTCATCTAATTTTAATCATTTGATGAAAATGTCCAGAAGGACGAAACAAAACAAAAGACATGCTGAGAATAAGAAAAACGCCGCATACACCCCTGGGACCCTCCACGCCACGTGGCGGCCTGTGTACCGCCATTTTACCTAAGCCCATTATCTCTCTCCTCTCATCAGCCATTCATATATACAAATCTCCCCTTCAATCTTTTCATTTTCTATCGAAAGCAAAAGCAAAAGAATTTCACTGCAAATTTTCATCTCCAATCTCACGCCCCTTTTACGTGCTGAACTTCTCCTTCTCGTTCATGTTTATTCTTTTTTCAAATAATTATTTTGATTATTTGTTTTCTGCAAAATTCAGCGGATTTAATCTGCCAACTTTCCCGAGTTTGCAGCTGCGTTTGATTGAGAAAACAAAAATTCAGCTTTTCTTTTGGTCCATTTTTTTTTTCTGGTTTTTGCAAGTTTATAAATTCTATTGAGACACCCAGATCGAAATTCAACGAGAATTGCGTTTTTTTGTACCTCGCAATTCCATAAAGACGGAGTCTTTTTCGGGTCTGAATTTTTACCAACAAAAGAACAAACAGGAGAAATCGAGCCCCATCAATGGCGAATAGAGCAGACGACATGGCCACCCTAATGCTGACGTCAGGGGCCAGCGGGAGAGTAAACGCCTTGCTCTCCCTCCGCGTTTTGAGGAGCCTGTGGCGATTGATCGGCGCATTTTTCCTGTTTTTCCTTCTGCCGTTCCGCGGCCGCCCACGGCGATGCGCGGAGTCGCCGGAGAAAATTGGAGGCGGCGGGAGGGAGGAGAAGACGGCGGCGACGGGTGGGGGGAAGGTGGTGAGGGTTCCGGCGGCGATGGTGCCGAGGAGGAGCGTGGTGGACAAGGACGTGGCGACACGGCGGGCACTGGCGATTAAGAGGGTGGTGGAGGATAATATTAATAATAAAATTAATAAAAATGTTGCTAATGACGGTGAAAATGGTAGTAAGGATAATTTGAGGGACTATTCACTGTTTGTTACATCGAGAGGTGATACTTTGTTCACTCAATCATGGACCCCAGCTAAAGTTCAAGTGAGGTAACTTTCTTCTTCTTTCTTGACAAATGATATATTACGGTGTGTTTTTTCCTGCATCTTCTAGGAGCTTCTTTTAGGTTGTCGCTTTAACTATTAATTGATTGTATAAAAAAAGTGAAATTTCTATTTCCTAATATGTGGGGTCTTGTTTTAATAATTGGGAATCATTGAACTGTTTGCAATCACNAAGAACTCTTTGTTTTCTCATGTTGATTTATTTGGTTCATTCTAGCAATATTTGATTTTGAAAAGAAGAGATAATATGCTACTGATGTTCCTCTTGTTTTCATTTGCTGCTTAAGATTCTTGAACTGGTCCACATACTGTATAAATTAATGTTTGCTGCAGCAAAAATATAAGCCTGATAGGGATATTAACAAATGCTAACCCTGAAGTTTACCTTAACTATAAAAAGACCCGGTAATTGTTTTTCAGAATTAGATTTGCCAGGAGTAATCTTCCCTTTAGGTTTGCATCTACCTAAAAGATGCCGCTCGATTGCTGTTTGGAGACGATGTCGAAAGGTATTTGTAAATTTTTAAGATAGTTGTGGCATTTTCTTTTAATTAAGCTGACCCAAATGGATGGTTTTCGTAGTTAACACTAACTGGATACTTAAGAACTTAGAGCTTAAAATTTGAATTTCAACATGAAAACCTCATCCCTTGTCTTGGTTACACATTGTGATTGGACCGCGTCCCAAGATCTGGAAAAAAATTTGTTGTTTTTTCTAATGTATTTATATTTTGCCCCTTATTTGAAATTAGTCTTTTAGTGACAGGATATGGGAGTTGTGGGAAGGATAAGATATGGGAGTATATTTTTGGTTTAGTCCTAGTTAAGATTTGTAGAAATGTCACTGTTAACAAGCCAAATTGCCATCCAAGAATTTTCACTTTTTTGCAGTGAATTCATATTATTCTCTGTATTGCANAGATTGAAAACAAATGGGGACATCATTCATTGCCTTTAGAATTATAAATGGCAACAAATTCTATGTGTGTGTGTTATAGACTCATACATAAGACAGCTCATTACAAGCTTCTCTGTGAATGTCACAATTCCTTATCCTCAGTTTCCCCCTTTTTCTATATCCAGTTTTCTTGTTTCAAGTTACCTTCCACAACTGTAGATTATTAGAATTAAGTTGCACTTTGTTACCCTATTCCAAAAGTTTGTGATCGAGCTTCGGGAAAACATTGTAATAAAACTGGAAATAAGACTTAACTGAGATTTCATTGGAGAGAAAAGCCTATCACTGGGTGATACTTGAGTTTGTAACTATTAAAATCGTTCTAATCTACAAATACATAAATTGTTGCTTAAATATTTATCATACTCAACCAAAACTCCAATTACCAAAATCTCAATAATTATCCAAATACGTGAAGCAAGAACAAGTCTTGGATCTTTCATAAACTTAGTTTTTAGTAGTCTAAGTTGAGACAATTCTCCTATCAGTGCAAAAGCATTCAATGTTTCCGCCTTATCACGTCCCATGAGTAATTTCACTCATCAATCGCGACCTGCCTTATTTGTATTTCTTGTTTAGAGCTTTTTAACATTTTCAACTATATTTTTTTATGTACTTCATTATGTATGCCGTCAAACTAGGATCGAAAGTTGAGTATATAAATATTTATCCTTTTTTGTTCTGTTTATGTTTAGGGGAGTCGTGGTTCTGTTGCATGGCTTGAATGAACACAGGTATATCTGCTTCAATGTAGATTGATAAATTTTAATTTTAATTTGCTTGTCCTCTCCACTTCTTAACGTTATACTTTGCTTTTTTCAACAGTGGTAGATATAATGATTTTGCCAAGAAACTGAATGCAAATGGCTTCAAAGTTTATGGTTTGGATTGGATTGGTAAGTCAATATTCGTTTAGAGATTCTTTCTCTTAACTAAATATATTGTATGCTTGGGGGACAAAATAACTCTGACTGAACGTTCATTTTCATTTTGGCTCGAGGCATGGAATATAAGACAGTGATGTTACTTTGATATGATCTGGCTTGCAAAACTATATGTAATCTGTTAAATAGTTGTTTATACTGTCATGCTTTACAGGGACCAGAAGCAGATAACTAGTAAAGGTAGATACAAATTACAATTGATATTTTTGTTTCTATGAAACATTTTGTGTTTAAGCTGTCTTTTATGAGGAATGTTTCAAATTGCCTTTGTATTCTCACGAATGGGAGTGTTTGCGAACTCATGAAAAAGTAAAATGAAAGATTTTTTTTTTTTTTTTTTTTNCTGCATTTTAGGATTTGCTAAGCTATTGCATCATTCATCTATCAAATAATGATCCCCTCACTAAAGTTATTCACTGTTCTGTGTTTTATAGACTACAATGTACCGTTGTCCCAATTCATGCAAGTAACTTACTCTTTGGTGTCTTCATTAGATGTTATTTGAGTATTCTAATAACTGCTCTGCATCATTCCAAATTAGAACGCATAGTAACATCAAGCCTCGAGCTGATAAGAGTTCATATTACCGCATTTGAATGTTTTTTTCTTACCTATATGCTTTTTGTCCAAATGATCCTTTCTTTTTCCTCATTGTTACTTTTTATTTTTTTTAACCATTTGCAGGACATGGTGGAAGTGATGGGCTGCACGCATATGTGCATTCTCTCGATTACGCTGTCAGTGATTTGGTATGCGTCATTTGATATACTCAACAAGAAAATAATAATCATTTTTCATTCTATAAGCCGATATCTTGTTCAGTCCTTAATTTTCATTATAGTATTTCCCTTTCTCTCTTCTCTTGTTCCAGAAACTTTTTCTCGACAAAGTTGTAGCTGAAAACCCATCTTTGCCCTGTTTCTGCTTCGGACACTCGACTGGTGGAGCTATAGTCTTGAAGGTACAACAGAATTCCACTATTTATATTTTAATCCCTTAATCGATCATAATTATTGGTCAAACTTAAAATTTGCACAAACAGGCAACTCTTGACCCGAAAGTGCAACAACGTGTGGCCGGGATTGTATTAACGTCACCCGCCGTTGCAGTTCAGCCGTCACATCCAATTATTGCTGTAAGAATCTTTCTTGTCTAAAACCTTTCCTCAACTGAACTCCTCATTGGCATATGTTAAGGATATAAAAATTAGTTTTTTTTTTTTAATGACATTATCTTAAACCCTCATAGGTTCTTGCCCCGGTTTTCTCTCTACTGCTTCCGAGATTTCAATTCCGCGCAGCCAATAAAGAAGGGACGGTCGTCTCGCGGGACCCACGCGCGCTCGCGGCCAAGTACTCGGACCCGCTCGTTTTCACGGGGTCCATACGGGTGCGAACGGGGTACGAGATCCTCCGCATCACGGCGTACCTGCAGCAGAACCTGTCGCGGGTGAACGTGCCCTTTCTCGTGCTCCACGGCACGGACGATTCGGTCACCGACCCGTGTGGGTCCCGCAGGCTGTATGAGGAGGCCTCGTCGGGCGACAAGACGATCGAGCTTTGTCGGGGACTGTTGCATGACCTGTTGTTCGAGCCCGAGAAGGAGGAGATTGGGGACAAAATTGTTGCATGGTTCAAGGATAGGTTGTGAGTCTTGTGAATTGTGATTGCTTTTTTTGTTTTGTATCTTTGGGGGTAAGGTTTTTTAATGGTTGTTGTTTGGTTGTTTGGTTGTTTGGTTGTTTGGATTGGGAATAAGAATGAATGGGACATTTTTAATGAGATGTTTTTGTGTAGGTGTGGTTTGGGGGTCATGGAGTGGGTATGTCCATGATTTGGGTGGCCAACTTCATGTAAAATTGGCATGTTTAAAAAGTTGAATAAAGAAACATTGTTCTATCTCCTTGTGTATAGTTTCAATGTGTTAGAGCTTAAATGATAGGCTCACATGTTTTGTATTTGACAAAAGATTATGCTTCGTATTGCCATTGAGATAAAGTATTTATCTTTTCTTTTCTTTTCATTGAGACAATTTGTGATAAATATTTTATGTTTTCTTTTCCTTTTTTTTATGTTTTCTTTTTTTAAATTACCATATATTACACTTTATTTTTTTTTTATATAATTCATATGTTAATTACTAAAAACTAGTGCCTAGCCGTGTGATGTTTGGAGAATAATGATAAATCATATAATTAAATAAGTGAATATATATATATATATATATTTTTTTTTTGAAACGATAGGGATTATAAAAAGCGCACAAAAGTGTGAAAAAAAAGCAAGTCCAAAGTTAAATAATACAACTAAGAGCTTAGAATTGGGAGGACAAGTTTGAATATCGCCTAGAGATCGCGCTAACAACGCTAGACCAACACTACTACAACACAAAACAAAAACAACTCCAAAGCTCCCAACAAAGGAGAATGACCTATCTCAAAAGGATACCCGCTCACACTCGGGCTCGCAGAGGTCAACGACCCAAACCCAAAACACAACTCCTAATCAACAACGAACACAAACACCAAGACAAAATAAACTAACAAAATCTAAATAAATAACTACGCACTTCCCCAGCAGAATAACCGAGCCCAGCACAAGGCACCAACAGAATAAAGGCCGACCATCCCCTTAGCTTGACCTGAAGTCCAGAACATTGCTCTCGAAACTGCCTAAACGCGTAGCTGAGGCCGAGTCCCGGGACGCCGAACCACTCCTAGAATGTAACCAACCCAAAGGCGGACAAATTGTTGATGTGCGGAATTGTATCAACGAAAAAATACACCCCGATTTCTGTGAATAATGGGTATTGAATCGATATGTATTTTCAATGATTTTTTGGAGATGAATATCTCTCATTTTCACTTGATTTTTGTTGTAAAAGATGGAGGAATAGTGTCCTCCTCATTTTCTCTCTCATGGCCCTATATATATATATATATATATATATATATATGCCTTTTTACACAAGTGGGCCTATTTAATGTGTGATGACATCGTGGGGCCCGATCGTGACACTTGACGGCTTCGATTGACGTCTACTTTATCGGCAATTATTGTGTCTGTCGGAGTCGGATCTTCTCAATATTCGGGTCGGGTTGATGATATTAATTATGCTCGGCTCGAATGTGGATGATCTGGGCACTTGGGAACTCGGTCAATATTAAAAAATCAGCTCAGAGAACCTGTTATATTTATTTAATACATATCCACGTGTAACATTTTTATTAATCGAGTCCAAATTGGGTATCAACAATTAACATAATTTTATTTTTTTTATTTTATTTTATGATACATAATATTTTGATATATGATTTATTTATTGATTTATTTAACTCGTTAGAAAATAGATGTCAAATTTGAGTTCTTGTTTAGAATTATTGAAATGAAAGTTTAACATATTCCAACATGCTTTTCTTCTCTTACTTATATCTTATTACAATGTATTATTTTGACTCATGAATAGGTTAGGGTAAAGTTGAAATATTGTGGTAAATATTAGAAATCGATATTTAATTTAAAAGGTAAGGGAAGAGAAGTATGCTTGAATATGCGGGATTTGAAAGGTCAATAGTCATATCCACATTGAAGTTTTAAATGAGAATAAATTTCTTTATTATAATAAAAAGAGTTGAAAGGTCACAACAATAACAAAATTATGTACCAAGTGTAGGTGTTAGCTTTAGTAACAAGCATGCGTGCTCCCGGCTCGACTCGGCACACGCCTGGACCTTGGTACTTGGTAGTTGGCAATTGGACTTTGAGACAGACTGGGTGACCTTGGACGGTCTGAGCCGGTGTTGGGCTTGAGCCTTAGGCCCAGCTAGGCATGGCCAAATGGCGGTTTTGGGTTGCAATTTGCAAGGCCTGAACTGGCCCGGAAACATATACGGGCCAGTTTGGCGAATCGCCGGTTCTGGGTCCGCTCAGTTCATTAAAAAATTAAAAATAATAATAATTCAAAAAGAAAAATAAGCCAACCACCGGTTTCGGTTCGAAACCGGCCTGATAGTTCAAAAAATTACAAATATGTGGTCCAGAACTAGCCTAGTCAAACCATGGGCTGGGTTCAAGGCCCGTTGGCCACAAGTCGGTTCAGCCATTAGTCACGTTTAGAACCCCCACCTATAATATTTTTTGTTGCAAATTTATTTACAAATTGTGGCCTAAAATAAAATTCAAACTGAGTTGGATTTGACTCCGAGTTTATTTGCAAAATTGTGGCCCAATTGGACATGTTGACTCCACATGACCGTTTTGGAAGGTCATCAAGTGGAGTAGTGGTGTGTTATCACTTCAAAATGGCAGACTTAGCACCTGATTGTTTTCTATTCATTACAGTAGCCATGGCTGGGTTGTGACATATCCTTTGTGGTAGATGATAGCTTAATGCATCGTAAAAACTCTTGACAGCTAATAGCCTCAACATCATACATAGTGCTCAATTCTTGTTTCGTTCATTTTTTTCGGAGCTTGAAAGTCTTAAGTGCTACAACTTCTTAGACATGGCCGTTGTATCTTTGGGAACGAGAAGTCTGAATCCATCAGTGCAGGACGATGTATTCGTCTTGCGGAAAGAGAAACTTTTGCCTCTATTTTTTCATTTCCCGCATCAACATCTTTTGTATTGTTTTGTTATGTATTTAGTTTAAGTAGTAAAATCTAAAACATACTATTCATTTCATATGTTTTCGAAACTCATTTTGTAACAAACGCAAGGCGAATATTGTACCTAATGAACTGATGATATCAATCTCTCATTCTCTCTCCTCAGCGAAAAATCCCCTTTTCTCTCGTGACCTAGCCCTCGTCGCCGGTGATTAGTACCTCTTCCAGCGGACAACCGGCTGCCGGTGGACGCTCTCCGGCGCGCGCCCACGCTATTGTTCGCTGTATTTTTCCCCTTGTCTCACGCGCCTACGGTTGAGGATGGTGGCTTACGGCGGATTTCTTCGATTTGCGCTTGTAGGTCACCGGAGACCTTGGGTGGCGAGGCTTGGTAGAGTGCGGCGATAGTGAATGGATGCGGCCCAGGTTTCTTGCTTGGTCATTTATCGGGTGTTTCCTCTCTTCTTCCTCTATGGGCGGCCTTGCTCTTTTCTGGTTTTGCCGATTTGCAGGGGTCGGTTTGGGTTCCCTGCTCGCGGGCTCTCTGTGGTGGAAGTTGATGGGCTGGGTTTCGTTTTCGGAGGCTGTGAGGGGTGCTCGGTGGTGATGACTGTGGTGGGATGACCGGGGCATTGATGTCGATTTGTGGTCCCTTCTCTCCTGTTCTCTGGTGCTGAGTCCGGGGGAGGACCGATGTTACCGGAACTAGGCTAGTGGTGTTAGCCTTTTTTCGGGACGATGGTTGGTGTGGGAAGAGTCGACATCTTTTGGCGGTAGAGCGGGTCGGTTCTTGGATTGACTTGAGGTGTGAGTCTTCGTCTTTGCTAGGCGTTCGGCAGCAGTGGCGGGCGTGGTTCTCGTGTCTCGAATCTCTTCGAGGAGTCGTCTATTGTCCTCTTGTTCAGTTCGGGTGTTTTGCCGAGGGAGGGTTTGTTTTTATTAGATGTAGTTAATTTGTTCTGTGTTTATGTTATTTTTATTATGTTGTCTCTGTCTTGTGTTTTTGGTTTGGGTCGTTGGCCCCTGTGAGCTCGAGTGTCAACCTTATTATCCTGTTGGGATCCGACACTCGGGTATTACTCCGTTGGGGTCTTTTTAGTTGTTTTAGTGGTTTGTATTGTAAGTTAGTTTAGTTGCGAGTGTTTTATTCTAGCGTTGCTAGCGGACTCTAGGCGGTCTTCTGACCTGTCCTCCCACTTTTTCAGTTGTTGGCTGCTGTGTATTCAGCCGTTGGCTGCTGTATTTTCGCATATTTGTGCATTTTGATTTATAATATTATCTATCGTTTTGAAAAAAAAAAAAAAAAAAAAATA